CCCCGCGGCACCGCGTCTGCGAGGTGAGGTGCTGTGCTGGACCTCGCAGCCCGCGTCAGACCTGCTCTCAGCTTCGTAACGTTCTCCACTACTTGGCTGAATTCCGTTAGGTGTCCGGGGAACAGGTCCCAGGAGGAGAGAAGAGTCCATGCTAAGCAACAAAACACTTTAAGACCTGGGCTTGGAAGCTGGAAAACCTCCCAGAAAACGGTTTTCTCCCTGTAAGCGTCCCACCCCCGCCCGTCGCCAGCGCGGCGCACCGGCAGCGCTACCTCTTTCGTGTTAGCTGGCAGCTCCGAAGCCAGGGCCATCCAGAGACCAGCTGCAGACTTGTTCCCCAGGTCCCTGTAGCACTGTGAAGGAAAAAAGGACGGCGTGAGAAGGGTTAAAGAGGGAAAAGCGCGCAGCGGCTGGGCAATTATGAGCCCTGGCAACTGACTACAAGAGCTGTTTCTACCCTGAAGCAGCACCGTTTCAGGCGTCCAACACCTCCTGCCGTACCCTTCATGCACAGGATACTGTAATCACCAGCAGATTATGGAATACTGGATTCCCTTTTCTCTTTCTGTGGGATTTTGTGGGTGTGTTTTGGGGCAAGGAAGTTGGTTTTTTGATTGGAGATTTTGAGGTGTCCCTGTGATTTTCACCATTTTCAAAGCTCTAGCTTTATTTCCACCACCCCTCACATCGCTTTCATCACGACACCTCCCCAGGGAGGGCAGCCCATCATCTTCCGAAGCCTCCATTCCCTGGGGGGTTCAGGATGAGGCCCGGCTGCAGCACTGCCACACCTCACGCAGGTTTGCAATAGGCGCGAGACATTCTTCATCCTGAATCCTCCCCAGCAGCAAAGTCTCCGCTCTGCGCGGAAGGGAGCTTTTGGTGCCACGGAGGCATTTGGGGACTAGGAATTAAGGACGGTAAGAGGAGGTGGGTGCTAAAAAACCCCACCAGCAATGCAGTTAATGGCTGCAATTGCCACCAAAAGCCAACGTTCAGTTAGGATAAGGACAACAGCGGAACTCCTGCAGGGCTACTCCCTCAGACTGCGAGACGTCACCGCCCAGCACGTGCACTTCTGTGTCTGGGGGGGTTTTCCTGCGTTATGGGATCATTCTGAAAGGGAAATGTTTGTTCCACTGTGAGCGCTGTCAAATTTCTGCGTCTGGTGAACTGAAAATAGATGGAGTCATGGACACCCTCCAATCCTTTAAAAACCCTGCATCTCCGTCAAAACTGTCAGAACACGACTATGTCACCGAATTCCTTTTTCCTTTGGAGTCAGTGCTCTGATGGGTCAGCCGCCTTCAAAATAATTAGATCCCAACTGCACTAGCGACAGAGCCTGGCATTAGGAACAAACGAACCACCCCACTCCTATTAACATCTATGCTAATTGGTGTTTGCAGAGTATTTCTGAAGCTCAAGGACACCTGCCAGACAGGTGGTGAGCTGTCAGTCCCACAGAAAGGTACCAGCCCACCGAGATTACACACCAAATTTTACATCAGCTCTGACAATTCATCCAGGGTGAGACTTGCAAGGATCCACTGCTGCCACTTCACGGCAAGGAAGGACCAAGTCCTCTGTCCTTTACTCTATACAAGACATTTAGGGGTGATTTTGAATTTCCACACACGCTGGCTGTACTTACAAGCAGAGAGAAGCAGCTGAGAGCACAACTATCAAGGTGCAGAAGCAGCCAGGAACAAAAGGCTAGTGGCTTTGACACATACGTGGTTGATTTTACAGCAGACTCATTGCTAAAGACACAGCGTGAGCAAAGACAAAACCCAGCTGGTGTGCAGCCTACCACACCCCTTCCTGGGTTTTCTCCTCCGCTACCACCTTTGTTCTCCTTCAAGCAGATACTTCACGTGGAATGAATTCTGCACCTGGGTTGCAGGAATCATCGACTCCAGACCAAGCGGATCCTGCGACGTGCACGCCATCCCGACAGAATTCACAGTCCTTGGGACATTGGGAATTCAGGAATTTCACAGAGAATGACTACAGCTACTCTTTGCTACGCCCGCTCTGGCCAGTATTTCTAAAGCTCCAACTGGAAGTTGGAGGGATTCAGCAGCAATTTTACCACTTAAGAGCTCAAAAACAATCACTCCCTCAGTGCAAACGAGATGATCTTTGGAGATCCAGGCTCTCAGGGTGTATTTAATCATTGCTCAAGACTCCCAGCTGCACGGGTAAAAGGGAGACACACCTCATCCTTTTCTTTTCCCCATGATTCCCTTTCTGTATACACCCCAGAAACCCACAGGGGCGGAATTAGACCTCCAGCCTGTGGCTCACTCGCTACCAGCGCCGCTTTACACAGAACTGGATCCGTTACAAACAAGGATGCTCCACCGGACGACTCAAAGGCAAAACCCTCCCTGAATCTTGGTGCCTCTGCACCAGGTGATTTGGCCTTTTTCCGAAATGTCATCGTCTTAGAAAATCCTGCTTCTGCACGGAGTGACTTAGGCATGCCTTGCGCTGTACAGCCAGAGACACTTTGTCAATACAAACGTTTCTTACCCTAGGAGCATGTGAGCGACCCGAGAGAGCGACAAGTGGCTGGTTACCTTGGCAATGTACACTCTTCCTGCTTTGGAAAATCCTGGGCTCAGTTCCTCAACCTGCAAGGAACAGAGGGGAGGGCGGGACAGGCAGAGAAAAGCAGATGTTAGGGCGAAGGGCACAGTTGATGCTCACATCTACTGCACCTCTTAAAAAAGATGAACGAGCCCCACTTTTCCCACACACAGGTCGGGGCGAGTGCTTCCTGGGCTTGCCTGGCGGGGTGAGTCACGTTCAGACTCCCACACGGAGCCTGAGACTCAACAAACACCGTCCACCCCCTCCACCGACGTGGGCGTCCCGAAGAGCGGCGAGGCTGTGGAGCGGAGCACACGGGAGCCGAGCGCGACGACCTCCTGTGCGTGTGCCGTCCTACACCTCCCTGTCCTTTCAGCCTCATCCGCTCGGACTCCTCCCAGAAATGCCAGTGCCAAATCTCAACAATTGTCCCCCTTTTTTTTTCTCCCCCTTCCTGGCTACTAATTCCCAGCTTCCCGGTTGCTAACGTCCCTCTGCCTTCTTCCATTCACCTCAGTGACAGCCATCACTGCCAGCTGCTTTGTTCCAGGATGTTCCCATTACAGACCCTCGGCTTGACCCGTGTCCCATCTGCACTCCCCAGCGTGCTCGACCGAGATGCCTGAGCCCACACACCAGAGGAAGCGCCGACAGCTCGAGACAACAACGTCCGGCCTCTTAATTCTGTCGTCCGGCCTCTGACCCAGCTCAGCTTGTGACCAAGACTTCCGTTCGCCTGAAGCGTGCCAGCAGGAGGGCGAAATGGACCCTGCTGAGCTATGGGAAGTGCACTGCTCCGGGTATAACGAGCTTCCAGAGGGACGGTTTTGTGCCCTTTGAAAATTCTCTCTGTATCTGAGCAAAGCTAAACCCCAGAAACCACAGGCCGCTCTAACGTCGCAACAGAAGCGACGAGCTGGTTTTCTCTCTAATGAGCAGGAACAAACCACTTTGCCTCAAACTCGTCTCTGAAATGATTTGGCCACCTCCGGCTGAGCAGCGTAGTGCCCTAGGCAGACACCTATCACAAACTTCCCTCCCAAAGAACCAGGTTTGGGCAGAACTGTAAGGAACCGGAGGCACGATATTCCCCGACGCTCTGCAGAGCTGCTGGCCCGCTCCATGGGTTGTAAGGTGGTGCTGCACTTCGTCCCTGTAACGCTTCGGAGGGGCTTAAGGGTAGCTCTGAGATGGTCTAACTCATCCCTCTTGTGCAGACCCTTGCAACAAGAGCCACACACTGGAAACCATGACCTGGGCCCTGACTTCAATCCATTTTCATCAACAGGGGACAAAAAAGGCTTTTGGGGGGGCAGGATTCTTACACCATAAGATTCCTGAGAATCTCTTCCTAGAAATACATAAGTAGTGTGCCCCTGAAAGCCTGAAGTCGCCTTCCAAAGTTTGAAGTGGAGAAGTTTGACCTCCTGCTAAGTGTCCTGAGAGAAATTAAACAGCTGGAAGGTGACGAGCATTCCTGGGGATAAGCACACACAGACCTCAGGCCACAGGCGTTTAGTGTCAAGCAACGAATCACTCCACACCGCAGCTTTCAAATGGAAAGCCAAACCTCTTAAAATCAATTCTGATCCCTCTGGATCAGAGGTCTGGTTCTGGGGTCTTCAAAATCATGTTCTACTGTCTGGCTCCACAATTTTTGCTTTCACCACCCCTGCCCCCACAGGTCCTCATCTACGGAGATGTACGGCGGAGCACTCGGGGTGACAGGTTTCAGCAGAGCACAAGTCCCCCAACCCCACCCTCGGGATCGCTCCGTCAGGTTAGCCGTTCCCTTCCTTAGCAGCCGGCATTACCCGTAAGAAGTTCTGCAGCGCCTCCTGTACAGTGGCCGTGGGGGGAGCCTCAAACAAAGCCGAAGCAGTCTTTTTTTCCAGCCATCCCAGGTGGGAAACCTGCAGAGACAGTAGGATGAAACCATCAGACCCACTGGAGACGAGGAATTACCCGGTGCCCTGTAGCTGGCTCGTGCCCCTGGGAGAAAGCCAAAACTCTTGGTAGTGCTGGAGATTCTGGAGGAGTATCCCGGCCTGGCCACAGAATCAAACCTGCTCTGCTTCTCCTTGTCCCTCGCTTACACTTAGGTCAACCCTTGCCGTTCGTACCTCAGCTGCCCCACGCGTAACACTCAAAGGAGGATTTGTCTCTACAGCCAACTACGCCCCATCCTGGGAGTGTCCAAGGCCAGGCTGGATGAGGCTTGGAGCAACCTGGGCTATGGAAGGTGTCCCTGCCCATGGCAGGGGGTGGGGCTGGGGGGGCTTTACGGTCCCTTTCCACTCCTGCAGCTCCCCATTCCACTGTAACCGCCGGTGCCAATCACCCCCGCTCCAGGCTGCGGCTCCCCTTCTGACAGGAGCAAAGCACTTTCGAGATGTATAAACTGAACAGTCGATGGCTACTGCAAACCCTTAACAGGCACTAAATCTGATTTATGGTATTTGACTCCAAGCTTTTCCCTGTCAAGAAACATAAAGCAGCCGGCACGCTGCTTCCAATACCTCCAATACTTCGTGTAGCAAGCACAGAAGAAACACATGCAAAGGATTATACAGATAGACTGTGTGCAGGAGCTCTTGCCAGCCCTGAAATGTCCTTGATCACATCCATATGGGCTTACAGGACTGGAGGTAGTTTGTTCTGAATGACTGAAGCAGAGGGAACAGTGAGCTGGTTTGCAGCTAGTGCTTTTCCTGGTGCATTCGCTGCCATGTCACCTCCCACGCTGCCTGCAGTGACTCAAAAACTAAGTCCGGGGCCCTGAACCCTTCAGAGCAGTTCGGAAATAGCACTTCTGGCACACAGCTGCCCTCTGGGAAAGGGACTAGAAAGAGGGGAGACATGAAGACCAGGAGAGTGGCAATAAATAAATGAAACGGCAAAAACCCCAGGAGCTCTTATTCCACTGCGGTACAGGGAGTCCTCGTCGAGCCTTTCGTCGGTGCAGGACGACAGGGAGCGCACACGGCACTGGCAACACGAAACTGCACTCTGAAAGACTGCGGCGTGTGCTCAATGCCACTGCGCTCTCCCTGCCCTCCCCGGCCTTTGGTCTGCACAGAGCAACGCGCTGGAAACGGGCTCGGCCGGTGTGTGCCCCGACGGCCAGCTCAGCGTTCCTGTTGTCCCGCTCTCGCTATGAGCTGCCACCACCTCGTATGGAAAACCTCTGTCCTGAAAAATGCGGTGCATCGAGTGGAATGCCAGCACGAAGGTGACACCTCAGGTTTAGCAGGAGGCAGACGAGAGGGTGACAGAGCCCTGAACAGGCTGCCCAGAGGTGACGGAGTCTCCTTCCCTGGAGACTTTCCAAAGCCCCTGGACTTGTTCCTGTGTGATCTACTCTGGGTGATCCTGCTCTGGCAGGGGGGTTGGACTAGATGATCCCTAGAGGTCCCTTCCAACCCCCACCACTATGACTGTGAGATGGGCTGCCCAAGACTCGACTACCGTTAGAAAACCCACTCAGATGGCAAGCTGAGAGATCAGGGGTGTTTTTCTCAGCACTGAAGAGTTTCTACATCCCACACAAGTGCAACTTCTAAACTACTTCAAGCGCCCAGGACATTTCCATCCCAGCACTTGCTGATACAACATCCGAGTTCAGCGCCGAAAGAGAGCCTGTCCCTAGGGCTGGCAGTTTGAACCCACTGATACCTTTCCTTCAAACAGGGAGTTAAACTCCAAGGAGGAGGAAAACAGCCATAAGCAGTAATAAACTGGTTTACCTGGTAACACCACCTGCCCAACAGGTAGTAAGACTTTGGATCCTCTGGTTTCAGTTCAATCGCTTTGTCGATGTGTTCCTACGGAAAATCAACACCAAGACACATTACATCTTTGTCACAAGCACATAATATCCCCAAGAGCAAATGTGGAAAGAGGAAAGGAAGAAAGCCACAGTGTACGCGCCAGCAATCAATACAATTACAGCTGCAAAAGGATTCCAAATTTTCCTAAAACGCTGTCAGTGAGCACAGAGAACCAGCGTTTTATCAGCCTCGGAGACAAGAATTCCTGCACACAAATGAAGCTGCCCTTCACGGTGTTCTTCCTCCTTCTCAGAGCCTGGGCATCCCCAACTTACTGGTCACGCCAGTAGCTGACGAGGCAGTAATTACACGTGGCCTGTTGTGCAGCGACCGCCCCAGGGGAGCCTCTTACCCTGTCACCCTGCTGGGGACGAAAGGCAAATAAAGGAGCCGGAGGCAGATGAAATCCTCTGAAAAGTAACTGCTTCGCACCCCGGGGAGGGAGCAGGCATCCTCACAGGCAGTTACCGAAGAAGGGTTGGTGCTGTATCTCACTACCACACGGTAATTTCACATTTCAAGTTCTCAGTCTCATCACACATTTTGTTTGCAAGGCTTTTGGTTTTGTTTCCCTGAGGTTACAGCATGCAAAAGTGCAGAGCCAGGGCAGGCACCCTCGTCACCGGAATCGCCTTCCGCAGCCCAACCCACCCACTCAGAGCAGCTCTTGGAGACCTGTCGCTTCCCCAGTAAGGGCTGGAGCCCGTTTTCTTCACTTACGACTACAGAAACAAATACTGTTCCATACTTACACGAGGAACAGCACGTCCTTTCCACTCACCTTGAAAACATACCCAGTCTGAATGCGCTCCCGAGTACTCTGATGCTGCGATAACTGCCCACAGAGAACAGCGTACCTAGGGGGAGATGTGGCATGAGGTCAGTCACCTGTAAATACACATTTACAATCTGCTGGTACCTTCAGAGGCGTTAAAGCCTCACAACTTACTGGAGAAAACAAGGAATGCTGTACTTCTTTTTCAGGGAAGAGACACATGCAGTAAAAATTTAGCACACAAGAAGGTATCAGCTTGAAGGATGCCGGGAGGTCAAGGGGAGCGGTTTGACACGAGACGAAAATGCATGGCACTGCTGGCTGGAAAGCCTTCCTTCCAGGTAAAACAGGAGCAGCACACGCCTACAGCCTACATTTCTTCACTCAGCAACAGAACTGCGTCAAAACGCAGAGCAAGGAGGAGCAAACGCTACTGCAGCGGGAGCCAGAACTACGGAAAGCTCTAACTACGGAGCGCAGGGATCTCCATGGGCAACACCCAACTATAGCACAGAGCTTGTCTGCCTCGAGGGAAAATATTGGGAAAACCTACCTATATCCTCCTGCCCGACACGGCCACTGGACTTGGGAAACAAAACAGCAGGTTTTCAGTGTTGCAGGCCCAAAGCCATTCAGTTTTGACCAGTAAGAGGTCGCAAATGTTGACCCCGAGAAGCGGAGTACCACGTAAAATCAGTTATTTCATGAGCTGCGAAAGCTAAGGAAGGTTAATTAGCCACGGATTTGCACCATCCCATCTCACCTCCCGCCCTCCCTCGCTGCACTGCTTCCCGATAAACAACAAATCTTGGAGGAGCACCGCGGCTGAACAGGACACACGGACGTTTCAGCCGCGCGGATTCGGTCTGTGTCCTCTGCCATCCCGCTCAGGTGGGAGCCGTGGGAATGCAGCAGGCTCCCTCCGCTTCTGGGGTTGGCTCAAAGGTGGAAAGGGTGGAGAAACGAGTAACACAAGTCTCGTCCTTGCAGAAGCTAAAGCTGCAGAGAAGAAAGACGCACACAAACTCCCCGCGAGTCCCGCGACGCCCCAGCCCAGCGCTGCCGAGTGCTTGGCCTCATCTCGCCGCGGCACGTCCCGCGACATCCCCGGCGAGGGTTAACCACAGCAGCTGTTGGCGCAGGAAGCTGTCAGGATCTCCAAAGACACTTTCTCCAGTGTCACAAAAACACCCACAAAACATTCCACACCTCATTGCCTCAACCACATTTTCACGAAGAAGCTGCATCTCCTGAATATTTACGACTTGGTCATTAAATCCCATCCCTTTAACACGTGAATTTTCTTGGGAAAAACTCTGCCTCGGTTCTAAAATCCTCATTTTTCAAGGTAATGAAGAGATTACCAGGTCAACGCCTTAACTGGGTAAAACCCTCCCCCCCCACTGAAAAAGTTCACAGCTGCCCTGCCACGATCTGTCACTTCCAGACCATGAAATTAAGTGTTATGATCTCCCCCACTTTGTTTCACAACAAAGATCAGCCTGTGCTGAACAGCCCTAACCACAACATGACTAGGGCTTAGAAATACAAGCCAATAAAGGGCTTAGTTTCTAAAAATCACAAGATAAAACATTCCTGTACCGTAAATCATGCAGTCTGCAGTCCTGCCTAACGCACAGGGACTTGCCAGACTATGGCTGCTAGAACCATACCCTTTAGGTACCCGAAGATGTGGGCAGGCACTGATTAGGTCAAGTTTAGGGTTCTGCAACTTTTTTAAATGGGAGTTAAGCCCTGCACAGCCCTTTATGCTACCCTGTCCTTCCTCGGGGAAAGCCTAGGGAGGCCCTTTGAGGCAGCAAGAAATCCGAGGGGACACTAAGGTCAGTCCGATCCCACCGCCAGCAATCACAGAATGTCAAGTGGTGCGACACGGAGCTGTCGAGAAACAAAAAATACCAGCTCTTTTTTAACAGCCTGAGGAAAAGTTACATAAGGAAGCAGTAAGTAGTCGTCCTGTCTTTGTGGCATGAACTTAAAAAACAACCCCAGCGTGGTGAGAGATGCCAGAACTGGCTTTTCTCTGCAATCCTGGGGAAAAGCGACTTTACCCAACCCAGCTTTCCCGCTTACAGCCCTTTGCACGAACCCTCCTTTCCAACTGGCGCTTCGCGGCCCAGGGCCAACAGGCTGATGGGGATTTTCACATGCAAGACTTGGCACTTCCGAGATTTTTAGGCTCTGGAGGCCTCAGACCTCTCACTCGGCAGCGCCAACGCTGGGTTTTGCCTCTCTCTTCTGCTTGTTTAGCTTGGCCTGTTGGAGTTGTTTGTTCCAGTCCGTTTGGGGAAATGCCTTGGGACGAGCGTCACAAGCGGCAGGAGCCCTGAGCGGCAGCAGCGGGATAGATTAAAAGTAATGCGTTAGGGCAGGGGATTTTCATCTTCAGTAAACAACACGTAACCTCTGCAGCATGGCCCAGATCGACGGCTCAGCAGTTACCGAAACCCCTCGTTATGATATTGCTTGACTAATTATTAACCAGAACTACTCATGAAGCCGCTGACACTGGTCAAACTGCAAGTTCCCATGGGAATCTCAGCTCCGTAAGGATTTCCCCGTTTACTAGAACATAAACTCTGTGGAAGCAGATACCGCCAGAAGAGAGACTGACTGTTCTTCCAGCTCAAATCCCCGAGCTCGGAACGCGCCGCTTTGAAGAACCTTCGTTTGTGCTGCTGCACTCTGGCTGACTCCCCCCAAGCCGGACTTCTGGCCTCTGAGCGCAGAACACACAGCTCTGCGCAGCCCGGCACCTCCAGCTCCATGGCCGGGGTGGTTTGCCAACCCAAATACACCTCTTCTCTCTTTTAACCATTGCAGAGACTCACTGGCCGAGCGTGCCGGTGCTCCCGTCTGCGTAAGGCCACCAGTTCATTGAACAGATGGTGAGGCAAAGGGGACTGAAAGGAGAAGGGGGAGAAGCAGCTATTTTGCAGCCAACCGATAAAAGTCCAATAGCGTGTCTTATATTGCCCAAGAGGAGTCAAACATTAAAAGTCTGATTACTAGCCACAGCGTGAAGAGATGAAAGTTCTTTGACATCAAAATTTGCTTCACACACGTTTAACTAATTTTTCACTGTAACGCCCAACAGCTTAATGTTTCCTGCTCAGTCAGTAGCGCTGCGGGGTTCTTTGCTCTAGAATACCTCATCACCTCAGACATGGGCAGTTCAGAAGAGCTGCAGCGGGGGTTCAGCGGCCTCGGTTGGAGCGATGCCGGGTGAAACCAAGAGCTGCCCTCTAGAATGTTTCTCTTGACACCTCTTCCCTGGAATACCTTTAGTTCAGGCAGCCTGTGATGTGTCAAAGCTTTAATTGTAGCAGAAGACAGTCTTCTCCCGCTTGGCAGGAAGCAGAAGCCAGTCTTTCCTGAAAGGACACGGGCCTCAGGAGCCTCCATGGGAGGAACTGCTGCAGAGTCTTTCACACACTGTTTTCACTTGTGGGAGTTGGGTTTTAAGGACAGAGTCTTAAAATGATGTGCCCAAGAAGGTCTGTGCTCTTGGGACAGTGGTTCAGGCTGCAGCTCGGGCAGCGTTGCAGGTGGGGTTTGATTTCTCCAGAAACGCTGCTCTGGGATGAGGCTGCGGACGCCAGCGACGCTGGGGAGATCACGGCTGCTATTGCTAATGGCCTGTTCTAGGGCGGGGAGCTCGGGGGGCTTGTAAAAGGAGCTCGTCGTGCCCACGGAGATGATATTTAACAGTTTGGGACATGGATGTGCAAAGCACTTCCTTCTGCAAGGAAACGTCAGGCTCCTGAGACACAGAGCTGAGGCCGGGGGGATGAAGCGCGGGCCAAGGCCGGGGGGATGAAGCGCGGGCTGAGGCCGTACGGCAGAGCAGTACGATCACGCGTGCGTGCGAAGGGGACTTCACCTTTTAACCCTTCAGAAAGCTGCGGGTAGCGTGCGTACGGTGACCCGTGTGCATCACTCGAAGGCTGAAACGCTTGATGTCTTAAAACCCTTTGGGCAGCAGCCAGTTTTCTGAATTTATTAAATGAAATGTTATTAAAGGGGTGGTGGAAAACATCCTGAACTGTCCCTCGATGCATACTTGATTGAGTTTTTTTACGATTTAAGGGCAGCTGTAGGTATTTTTGTGAGTCAGAACAGGGGTGAAGCCAAGGTTCATCACTTCAGTTTGTGATGTGATTCCTTAGGGTGTAAATACGTGTCAAATATTTTAATCCCCAAGGAAAATTGAGACAGCGACAGCAGAAAGTGAGTGTTGCTGCGAGCCAGAACAGGATTGTGCTTAAATTTCTAGCGTACCTGCCGTCATCGTCAAGTACCCTTTTCGACCAATCCACACCTGTCAATTTGCCATCTTTGCGTAACTGTTGGCTTTTTTAGGACTCAGGCTGGGCTTTTACCTCCCACGTCCAGCCAGCAAGGCTCTCCCTCCAAGCAAGCAAGAACAGACTTACGAGCTTGCTCTGTCCTCCCGTTCATGAGCTGAAATCTGCTAAGGGAGAAATCAGTGTAGTTGGAGACAGTGTCTATCTGTTCCCAGATCTTTCACAACTAAAGCAGAGAATGACTCTGATGTCTACCAAAAGCAGGAGTCAGCTGTGAGAGGGGAGTACCTGGGCATTACGAACACTCGGCACACTACCAGTCAGCCTACAGCACACAGACCTGTTCCGGAGGCACCAAGTGCATCAAACGGCCAACACAGCTCTCCCGTTTCTCTGTTCCTAAGTGGTGCCCAGAGGAAGGCACAGCCAGAGGCCTGACCCATCACACAGAGGCTGGACCATCTGTGGAGCCCCGATCAAATCCCAGTTCTGTCCCAGACAGCGCTGCGGGGCCGGCTGTCTTGGGACCAGCTGACTTCCAAGAGCAAGCGACTATAACAACAGCTTTGTCCCAGACCAAATGTCAGGAAAACCCAAGAGATCCATGCAAGGACTCTCCTCATACTTGGGCAGATCCCAAAGCTAGTCCAGACACAGTCCCAGACACTTACTGCTTTCTCTGTCATTCCTGAGAAACCACTTGCTATCCTGCTGCCAAAGCCTTCCAACCATCCAGCCACAAAACGCTGCGGGGCTGCAGCCAGTCACGCTCCGCGCAGCACTGCCTCCGCCAGCTCGCGGAGATCCCTCCTCGCGCAAAGTTGTCTTCCTCGTCTGTCAGTCGTTACTGCAACCACCGTGAGGCACGGCGGGGGGAACAGCAGCTTTACTCCCAACGACGACTGCATGCCACCTGTCTCCTGCCTTCCCTGATAAGCACCGCAGCTTAAACCAGTAAAACTGGGAGCGATTTGGGCAACAGGAGCAAACAATAGGGCGCAGGGACCAATCAGTAAGCACCCAAACCCAGCACAGCTGCATCCGAAGCGACCCCTACGCGAGAAGAGGCAGCTGATAAAACAGAAGCGATGGTCAACGTGAAATAACGCACCCGGGGAAAAACGCAGCCCCAGTGACACCTACACAGTCACGGCTTCACACGGCCCGTACCACAGCGGAGATGGTAAAATCGCTGGGATTTCCTGGTCTTCCTATTAAAATGCCCATTCAGTAGGTGGGGGAGGAGAAGGTGGCACTGCTGAATGCTGTCTGTGGGTAAGGGATCACCACGGCACTGCTGCACAAATCCACGCTGTTCCCACAGCTTGTGTTCCCACACTTCCGTCTGAGAAATGACAGGGTAGGAAGAGAATGACGGGAGAGCCAACACGGGCGATGAGAGACAGTGAAACGGTTCCCTAAGAAGAGGGATAACAAAGGATTAGGATTCCTTAGCAAGGGAAACAGACACTGAAGAGGGAAACAGGACAGAACAGACCCAAAATTTACTGAGGACGTGTGAATAACCATTCCCTGCTCATCCCCAACAAAAACCCAGAGCTGGGCCACCAGATCAAAACCAGTAAAGCTTTAAAATCTCTACCGGCGATGCCAGTGTAGCAGGATTTTTCTCCACACGGCACATTAAATTCCGGGATCTGTACCAGAAGATGGTGTGGAAGCAGAGGGAACCGAGTGGTTAAAACCAGATCGGACCAACTCAACTCGCCCCCCTGCCGCCGGTGCGGAGGGCGCTGAAGGAAAGCGATCGCCGCACGCTTTCCCATTTGGGTTAGGAACGTTTTGCTAACCGCTGCCACCCCAGCCAGCGCGGGGAACGAAACCCACTCCCGAGCGACGAGCCCGTGACCTGAGTAAAGGGCAGGCAGCCTACGACGTCTTTCAGAACTACGGTTTATCCTGCATTTTTCATTTCAATCTTCCCGTGTATTAAGCATCATTTCTCCAGCAGTATTTTTTTCTCAGGGTACTATCAATTAGCATAAAGAGAGAGTGCAATTAAACCAGCTTGCGACCACCCCATGACCCCTACGGAGCTGGAAAGGGAACAATTTCCTGTTCTGTTCATGGCAGAAAATAATTATTTCTGCGGCCGACAAAGGTAGTTACATCTTCATTTCCAACAAGTCCCACGCCTCCCACATGCCACTCGGCTATTTCCTTTCCCCAGCTGCCCTGTCTGCAGCTGCTCTCTGGAATTAACAGCAAGATGTAGATGTGCAGAGGCCCTACCCCTGTTTGGAAAAGAGAGAGCTCCAGCAGGACAGGAATTGTGCACTCTTCCAGCAAAACCGCTGAGAGCAGGGTGGGCGCAGGCACCGAGAGCACCCCAGCCTGAGAGTTCCTGCTGGAGACACAGGACTAAACGTCACATCACAGCCCTGACCGCACACCATGAACTCGGAATTACGGAGCTCAGTGACCAAGGTTACACCCTGGACTGGAACCGCTGTAACATCAAACCCCCAAGCAGCCAAGTGGCTTACAAACTCCAAGACTCAGCCCGGTGACTAAAAGCCCATTCCTCCAAGATGCTAAACAAGCAGACAAAGCCAAACACCACAACCTGCTAATACCAGGCACTAGTCCCCCTGTACCTCCTCCTGTCAAAGCTCTAATCAACTCACTGCTAGGAGCTGAAATACACAGTCTTTTCAAGACGATAAAGGCATTTATTTAGATGCCAGTAGTCCAAACTGACCTCCTAGATAAGTTTACTCACCTCACAAGAGCACAGCTTTCGTTTGGTAAAGATACTCAGCATCCTGTTTTCCCAGTAATTTCCATTTGAGAAATCATTTCTCTTTTGTTCTGTTTTACATGTTGTCGGTTCTTCCCAGCAACTGCTGACAAACACTGCTCATCAAGGAGTTCACCACAGAAGCACATTCCCTTACCTCTACAAGTATCTGTATCACCTACAACCTTTCTTTTGATGTATTTTTAAAAAGAGCCACCCTTGCAACCTCATTGGTGAGCTGCACCCCAAACCCGTTCATTCAGGCTGCTGAAGACAAGGAACCATCCCTCTTGCCTACCTCCTTCCTGAAATCCTAACCAGCTGCAGCATTTACACCAACACGGAACACCTCGCTTGGCGAAACTGCAGATCATTTCATCCTTTATCACGAAAAAAATACGACCTATCTCTGGGAAAGAAGAGCCATGTGCTGCTGTCCCAATTCACTTCAAAGCCAGAGCGCTTCGCCGTGCCAAGCAGCGCTGCCAAGCCAGAAGACACTCTCCAGAAGACTGGAAGAGGCTGCCTGGTAAGAACGATATTTGTATTTACTCCAGAATTAGGATGAATCTAACACTGGCACAGCACTAAGCCCACGCTCACAGGCCCAGCCGATTGAGGCCAAGGTTACCTCTCGACATTAAGCATCCCCACGCAGCACAGCATTATCGAAACGTCAGTAACCCAGTAAAACCTAACAGTTTCCCCAAGAATGCTGGGGAAAGACAAGGGAAAAACCTCACTCATATTTACTGTGTAACTCTCCAGACCCTGGTGCTGCAGCTGGCCGCGAGCTGGGCTTGGAAGGACACGCATGTTACTCTACAGGGGCTGAAAAGGGGCCAAAGGAAACAGGAGGGTTCGTGAAAGAAAATGAAGAGCCCCGTCATACTGAGCTCTCAAACTCAGGAACTGGCCTGCTGCAAGTTATCTGCACAAAACACATTCTTTGGCAGCCCATCTACACCCAACATGGAACAGGGCGCTGCAACAGGCGTTTTCCCAGGGTCTGCACAATCAGAAGCAACGCCGACGGAGTTCAGCTCCCTTCTGTGCCGAGACGCGCGCAGCATCCCACCCAGGCACGCGCAAGGGGCCAAAAAAACAGCTCCCCAGCAAGTCACTGCATCCCGCTTCCTGCGAGGGCGACGGCACAACTCCCAGGAAAGCTCCTAAAGAACCTTTCCTTCACTCCCCCTTTCCCAAATACAGGCACTCCCGCCCCGAGCAGCCCAAAGAACAGGCAGGCTCCTAAGCTGAGCGTGGTGAGCGCCCAGAGCAGCTCCCTGTGCTTACTCATCTCCAGCCCGCTTGACAACAGCCTGTTCCTCCAAGCCGGAAGCTCATCCTTCACCAAAGTTCATCCTTGACTCGTCAGGTGCCGACTCACAAAAGCCTCGGGACAACCTGCTCACAGCACCCAGAGCTCCTGGGGAGCTTTTGCTCGAGAACTCCTGCCCATCCCGTCTCAAAAAACCACCTACCTGAAGGGGCACAAGCACAGCGAAGTTTGTTGCTCGAATCCCAACTAAACCGATCAAGCCGCGACTTACACCAGTTAACCAGAGCTGTGAAAAATGGCTTTTTGAGGTACGCTCCAAGAGCAAGTAAGCTCTTTTTTGGCTGTTTTTCGTTTAAAATGCAGCTCCGCCCACAGCAATCTCCAAGTTCATTTCCTACGCTTCCTAAAAGCCGGAAGTAGAAGTTACGTACCACTGATGGCACTCGGCACTTTGATCCCACGTCTGCAAAGCAGTTTCCATCTCTTCTTTCCCTGCAAGGCAGTAGCCAGAGATAAGACATTCAGCCACTTTCTCCCTTTACTTCCTTCGTGGCCAGAGGAGGCCCCGGAGATGCTCCAAGGGCTGGAGCCCCTCTGCCCTGGGGACAGGCTGGGGGAGTTGGGGGGTTCCCCCTGGAGAAGGGAAGCTCCGGGGAGACCTCAGAGCCCCTTCCAGTGCCTGGGGGGCTACAAGAAAGCTGGGGGGGCTTTTCCCAAGGGCAGGGAGTGACAGGACAAGGGGTGACGGGGTTAAACGGAAAGAGGGAGATGGAGATGGGCCATCAGGAAGTAAGTCTTCCTGCAGAGGGTGGGGAGCACTGGGCCAGGTTCCCAGAGAAGCTGTGGATGCCCCATCCCTGGGAGGGTCCAAGGCCAGGCTGCATGAGGCTGGGAGCACCCTGGGCTATGGAAGGTGTCCCTGCCCGTGGCAGGGGGGGGGGCTGGGGGGCTTTGAGGTCCCTTCCCACCCAAACCAGTCTGTGTCTCTATGATTCTATGATACATTTGGCTTGAAAACGTTCGGTAAGTAATTTCACACTCCCACAGCGATACGGAACATCCAAGACCACTCAGAGAGATCATCCAACAGGGTTCCACCCCATCTGGAAGAGCAGCCATCTACATATAATGAAAACATCTTCCCTGCCACGCTAAGAAAAGGTAATTAGAGTTTTCAGTGGGTTTGCTCTGATTAATTTCACACCTCAGACCTGGGACCTGTCCCACGTCCCTGTCTCTTCTCCAGGAACCTGCAGCCTCAGAAAGCCGACGGCGGAGGGGGAAAAAGCAGGGTTTGTAGCTCCGAAGGGTCATGTCAGCTTAGACCCCCAATGTCCCTCGCCTCGAGAACGCAGTTCCTTACCATCAGCCGCGTACGACCTCTTCTCATCCGCGTCTTCCGCAATCTCACACATGTCACTATACGCTCGGGCCAGGCGCCAACGGAAGTCCTTCTGGTCCGCGTACTGCGGGGAAAACAAAGGGCACACATCCAGACCCCTGCAGCCACTGACAGTGGAGGAATCAAGTGGCATTTCTGGAACTTTCCAAGGCCTCAGTTGTACAAGAATTAAAGCAGAACCACCAAGGAGCAAACAGGCTGGCCACGTCTGTAACTGCACTGACAAGGCTACGCTGCTGCGACGGGTCTAACTGCTGCTGCCTTCTAACACGGAACCCAGCTTCAAAGGCCACGCTGGGGGCAGCTCTTTCGCGGCCTTCGCTAAGCTCAAAACACTGGGAGCAAGAATCACCCTAAACCTCACCACTACATTAAAATCCGTAATTTGAATTTCACTTTTTCCATGCTCCCGTCCGCGTTCTAACAGCTTCACATCCTGCCTTGTTCTCCAGCTGGGGACAGTACCATCGGCGTGCTGCTCAATCGGAGGTGGAGGTGTTCTGACAAACTCAAGCTTCATTAAAAACAAAAGCGTAATATCTTAAACCAGAACCACCTAACAGTCTGGTGTCTTGTGTGATAGTACTGCAAATAAAAAGTGGGAGAACCCCCAGAAAGCAGCACACAGGCGAGTTTCGGAAGCCAACGGGCCTGCCATTTCTCCCGGGTGGGAAGGAGAAAACAATCTCCTTGAATTAGACCTCATCAAGTTCCCTGTTATTTCTTCCCTTCTATTCCTCTTGGAAACACAGGAGCCAAACACGTTTGGCTTTTGAGGGCTGGTACCCACGACGTGTACTTTGCAGGCTCTGCAGTACTCGGGAAAACGCCAACAGAGCGGCTGCAGCGGGCACAGGC